GAGGTGGAATAATGGGAAAGAGGGTATTCTTAGGTGTCGATAGAGTTTAGGGTCTGTTGTAGGGGCGCACCCATTTTATAGATGAGGAGACCAAATCCCATAGAGAAGAAATGACTTGCTTAAGGCCACCCAAGGAATTGCAGAATCCCCTGATACTTAATGCCCCATTACATATCACTGCGATACCTCCTCGGCCCTGCCTCTCCTCCCCCATCCCCTAACCCTGGGACCTAGGCTTCCACCCCATTCTCCTATTCCAGCCGCCGCCTCCATGCTGAATTTGCTGCTGAACGAGACTGGGACCAGTTCCACCAACCTCGGAACCTCCTCCTGGCCTTGGTTGGGGAAGTGGGGGAGCTGGCAGAGCTCTTGTGAGTAGATGAAAAGCTTCCTGGAAGAGTCTGTGTGTTGTCGGGGACAGGAGGGGAACATTTATTTGATCATCAAATATTCATGGATTCAGTTTTCCCTCCTCACTGCTAGGCTCAGTGCCTGGTTGCTGGGGATACAGAGATGACTCACCGGTCCCTGCCCTTTTTGGGCACCCAGTCTCTTGGGAGAGAAAGGTGTGAAAACAGCAGGCAGATCCCCGTCTAGGAATGGGTGGTGGCAACCTTCCTTTACCTCTGCCTCTGGGGTGGAAAGGAAGGTGTTCTATAGAAGATCTGCCTATGGCATTCCAGACAGGGGGAGCTACATCTGCAAAGGTAGTGAGGTGGAAAAGGGCAAGTTAAATTCAGGGAGAATCTGATGCTTCTTCAGTGTAAGCTGCTCAAGGAAGAGCAAGGATTTTGTATCTGTTTTGTTCTCTGGTGTGTCCCAGGTGCCTGGCACACAAGAGACACTCAGTATGTATCTGCTGAGTGAGTGATAGGGCTGTGGAGGAGAGGGGTGGGATATGAACACAGAATGATAGAATCAGGGTTAGGAAGTGATGGTGTTTGGACAGAAGATCTGACCAGATTTGAGTGTTCGAAAGATCACTGTGTCTGCAGGGTGGATTGGATCACCAAAATTGGGTCAGGGAAGACCAGTGGGAGCCTGGTGTAAATCAGGCAAGAGATGGTGAGGCCTAAACCAGCACAGTCACCATGGGGATGGAGATATGAGGGCACAGAGATGTGTGAGGGCAAGCTTCACTCATTACAGATTTATGAGCATCAGCTGTGTGCTGGGTCTTCTAGAATGAAGAGATATGGCCTTGAACAAGATAGACACGGTTCCTGCCTTCATAGTGCAAGGAGACTGACAATAAACAAACTAATTTTAAAAGATTAGGAATTGTGATAAGTTCTATGAGGAAAATAATACAAGGTGATGAGAAAGAAGGCAACAGAGGGAGAAGGTTTTTTTGAGATGGTAACAGCTGAGCTGAGACCTGAATAACAGGAAGGAGCCAGCCATGGGAAAGATGTAGGGAAAGAACATTCAAGGCAGAGGGAGCAGTAAGTGCAAAGGCCCTGTGACAGTCTGGCCTGTTGGCAAGACAGAAAAGGCCAGAGTGGCTTCAGGTGGGGAGTGAGAGGGAGAGTGGTGGATAATGACATTGGAAGAGGCAGGAGTTAGCTTATGCAGGACCTGGAGGGCCTGGTCAGGAGTTTGGGTTTTATTCCAAGCACAGCTGGGGGACTGTTAGCAGGGGAGGGACAAAATGTAATGGGTGCTTTTAAAAGATGGTACTGGGCAAGAGTAGATGAGTCAGCAGGCTTATGCAGTGGTCCAGGTCTGAGGATTAGTCTGGGGTGCCAGAGGCTAGGGCTAGAGAAAAGCAGAATTGGGTATCAACAAATGAAATGACCTCTTGGCCACTCCTTGGCTCAGGTAGGGACACTGGGGTCTGGGTGAATCATCTATTGGGGTCTCTTTTCCACCCTAACTCCACCAAGGGCCCAGATGGGTTGAGTTGTCCTTGGAGGAAGTTCCTAAGAGGTGGGAGTTCATTGCTCCAAGGACTGGGTGCTCCTAAGAGGGGCAGAGCCCATTGTCCTAGCTAGCATCTGTGTGTGTGTGCCTATCTGTGTTCTGCCCCCAGTCAGTGGAAGCCTGATGAGAAGCCTGGCCCCCAAGCCTGGCCCCCCAAGGAACGAGCAGCCCTTCAAGAGGAGCTCAGTGATGTCCTCATCTACCTGGTAGCATTAGCAGCCCGCTGCCGTGTGGATCTGCCCCAAGCAGTGCTCTCCAAGATGGACACCAACCGGCGACGCTACCCCGCACATCTGTCCCGCGGCTCCGCCCGCAAGTATACAGACTTGCCCCATGGGGCCACCTCTGAAGACCAGTCAGTGGGGCCTGCAGACCTTGCCTGTGAGTCCGCGGGCCAGGCTTCAACCTAGAAACATGGACACAGGACCTGCAACTCAGCATGGCATCTGAGGAGCAGAAACCTCTGGCCATGAAATCTTGTTCTAGTCCTTTCCTAACAGATCATGGGCCTGGAGGCCCTACTTCCTGAGGTCTAGGGCCCAAGAACCTCCAGGAGACAGCCTCCTGGTATTTTCTCCCTCAATAAAAGTTTTGGTTAGCAACTTCTGGATTCTTCCTGGGGTGGCCAGGGAGGCTCTGTCTCAGCAGGTGCTGGAGAGGGGCACCAGGATGCCTCTGAGCCCAACTCCCATGTTTCTCTGTTGAACCTCCCACCTGCAGGGCAGAGAAATCTGATTTCTGTCAAGTTCCCTATGGGATTTCATGCAAATTCCTTCCCCCTTCTGGGCCTCTAAAGGAGATTGGAAGCTGTATGTAGTGTTAGAAGCCCAGATTTTGGAGCCAGGCTATCTGGGTTCAAATGCCATCTTTGATACTTATGAGCTGGATGACATTCATCAGATTACTTCATCTTTCTGCATCTCAGTTTCCTCATCTAAAATGAAAATAATGTTATCTACCTGATAGAGTTGAAAGGTTTAAGTGAGTTATTGTAAGTAGAGTGCTTAGGACAGTGCCTGGCACATAGTAGGTACTTTGTAAGTTTGCAGTTATTTTCAACTCAAAACTTGCAGAGGCCCAGAGCAGGAAATGTCAACAGTTAAAGCAAGCCCAGGCCTAAAACCCAGCCTCAGGTCCCCAGCACAAATCAGGGTCAGGCCTCTGATGTGGAGCAGGGTGGGGTTTCTCTTCCCTTGGGCTTGGGCCCCTCACCCCCTCCCCTGCCCTCCCAAAGCCAATTTCTCATCCACCTCTACAACTAAAGATAGTGTTGGGTGTGTGTGATTTACCTGTTGTGTGACCTCAGGCCCATGACTTCCCTTTCTGAGACACCCATGACCTGCCTCACTCAGGGTAGGGTAATGCAGGGAAAAAGACCTTTAAACTACTTCCATTGCCCCTCTGAGCCTGTTTCCACATCAGTAAAGTGAGGCATTCCTCTTGACTGGCCTCATTCCTCCTACTAATGACCTCTCTCCCTCTTAACCAGTGACGTCTTTTACTTCCCAGGTAAAACAGAATCCAGACTTGAACTGCTTCGGCTTTGTTCCCAAACCCACTTTTCCTCTCCCTACCAGTGATAGCTGGAGCCTTATCCTTAGTGGTCTCTGATTTCATTCCCTCTTCTTGATCAGTTTTCTCCTCTTCCCTCTATATAATCAACTTCTCTTCCTTTCCATTAGCCTTCCCCACCAGCATATAAAGCACAGTCGAGTCTCTTCCCTATTGACAAAACAAGACAAGCAAACTTTCTCCAGCTGCTTCCCTCAAGCTTTTCACAGCCAAGCCTCTTGAAAACAGTTGTCTACCCATCCACTCTGCTTCCTCATTCTCCCATTTATACCCTAACCCACTCAAGACTGGCTTTAACTCCCTCCCATCCACTGAAACTGCTCTCACCACTTTCCCCGAACTCTTACAGTGGACACCAGGGCAGCATCTGACCGAGCTGACCATTCCCTCCGTGAAACACTTTCCTCTATATTTCCCAGACAAGACACTTTGGGCTTTCTTTCTACCTCTGCCTGTTCTTTCAGACTTCTTGCGTACCCTCTTCTGGAGGTGGCGTCACGCACTCCAGACCTAATATCCCCAAGCTGGTATTTCTAATCATCTCCTTAACCCCTCCACATTTGCCTCACACTCAACATGTCCAGATGGGGGTGTACCAATTGCCACCCCTTCAATTCCCGTCCTGCACCTCATCCTGTGTCCCCATCTCAGTGACACTGCCTGCAGTCACTCAAGCTAAGAAAAAAGGTCAGCCCCATCTCTCCTTTCCCTCATCCCCATGGCCACTCTACCTCGGTGAATTCTAGCACCTTAATATGTCAGATCCATCCCTCCCCCTCTAATCCCTCAAGGCCTTTTGCTGCCTTGGACCCTTTCCCCTGGCTTCCAAGGTCCCTAGTGGTCTAGGTGCTGCCAATTTCCTTGCTTTTTGTCCCTACATTCCACCCCAGGGGACATCTGCAAGCTCTAACAAGCCTGGCATGCAGTTTCAGGGGCTTTCTGCATCCTTCTCCAACCCCATCTCTTAGCCTTCAAGATCAGCTTAAACATCACCTCTGAGAAGAGCCTCTCAACTCCAAGACGACAATAAAGACCTCTCCTGTCCAACAACTTCCTCCATCATAGTTCCAATGACAGTGGACTGCAGTTGCCTCTTCACTTGTCCCTGCTCTGCCATTTACTGGCATTCAGTACCTGTCTACTCATCTGCAGAAACGGAGATAAAAGATTTACCTAATTTTGGGGTGTTTTGAGGGTGAAAATGATCTAATGATTATAATGAAGCCTTACAGCCTTTAACGTAGTGCTATAAAGTTTCTATTTCTTGTCTCTTCTTTACTAGACTGAGCTCCATGAGCTCCATACCTGTTCACCAAAGCTCTGCAGAATGCAACGCCTGTTTGGCCTTGAACGTGCTGTATTTGTGGACCCTTCCAGATCTGAGGTTGAGGACATAACCAAACTACACACAAACCCAGGTCCAGGAACCCTTTTCAAGTCACCAAGTCTCGGGAAAACCCCAACTTTCCTCCTCTCCCCACCCACCTCATTCACAGGCACGGGTGGGGTGAGGATATAATACTTTATTCACTAACATTGGCCAAAGGGATGTAGTGAGGGGAAGGTGGGCACGGTTTCCAGGGACCCTGGTAGGGGATTCTCCCTGTCTCCCAGTTCCACGGCAGCCAGGCCTGCCGTCCCACCCTTTCCCAGACCCGGGCGGCGGGGCGGGGAGGAGTCGTTCAGGTTAATGCAGCCCCAGGTCGGGGGTCCCAGCGTGCCCCTCTCCAGCCAGACGCTTGCACCCCCCGACGCCGAGAACGGCGGCTCAGCTGCCCTCGCACTCTGGGCAGCGCTCGGTGGCTGTGGCGGTGGTGGCGCCAGGGGGTAGCTTGAAGTCCCGGCCGCAGCCCGCACAAATATAGAGGCGGCGCCGCATGTGCGCGCGACGGTGGCGAATGAAGTGTGAGCTGAGGCGGAAGCGCCGGCCGCACTCCGCGCACGGGTACGGCCGCTCGCCCGTGTGCGTGCGCGCATGCTCCGCCAGGTTGGAGCGGTGGCCGAAGCGGCGGCCACACACGGCGCAGCGGTGCGGCTTTTCGCCCGTGTGCACGCGCCGGTGCTTGGCCAGCGCCGAGCTCTGCGCGAAGCGCGTGCCGCAGTCGGCGCATGCGTACGGCCGCTCGCCCGTGTGCGTGCGTCGGTGGCGAGCCAGGCACGAACTGCCGCCGAAGGCGCGTCCGCAGTCCGGGCACGCGTACGGCTTCTCGCCCGTGTGCACGCGCAGGTGCTGTGCGTAGTTGGAGCTCTGCGCGAAGCGGCGCCCGCAGTGCGCGCATGCGTACGGCTTCTCGCCGGTGTGGCGCCGCCGGTGCTGCCGCAGGTTCGAGGCGGCGGAGAAGCGCTTGTCGCACTCGGGGCACTCGTAGGGCCGTTCGCCCGTGTGCGTGCGGCCGTGTTTGGTCAGCGCCGACTTCTGCGAGAAGCGCCGGCCGCACTCTGTGCACGCGAACGGCCGCTCGCCCGTGTGCGTGCGTGCGTGCTTGGCCAGCGTGGAGCGGCGCGCAAAGGCGCGGCCGCAGTCTGGGCACGCGTGTGGGCGCGCCGGGTCGGCCGACGGCGCTGGCGCCTCGCTGGGGACCTGCGGGGAGAGGGGGGACAGGTCAGCCCTGACCGACAGGCCCGAGAGCCAGAGACCTGGGTCTCCGCACGCTGCAGCCTCTCGGTTCCCCGTTTGTAAAATAGGAAAAGCAACGGCGGCTGCCTCAGGTTGTGCGCATTAAATGAGATAATACATTAACGCACATATCACAATGCCTAGGGTCATTCTAGCTATTCTTTATTAATTCAGTTATTTATTGAGCGCGTACAATGTACCAGACTCTGTTCTAGGCACTGGAGATTCAGCATTAAATTTTAAAAATTCCTTCTTTCAGGAAGAATAGATAAGGCGTGCTGGTATTACGGGGATGCTGCAAATTTAAATAGGGTTGTTAAGAAACCTTACTGATACAACATGAGCAAAGATCTAAAGGAGGTGAGGGAGCTACAGAGGGAACAGCAGGGTCCTGAGGCAGGAGTTCTGTCTGCTGAGTTGCAGGAATGGCAAGAAAAAGTGCCCAGGGCAGAATGCATAAGGAGGAGAAAAATGATGGGAGTGGTCATAGAGGGGATCTCTTGGCTTAGGGCCTTGTAATATGAATGAGATGGGGAATCATTAGAGGAGATGTTAGACATTTTTGAGCAGGGATGTGAACAGATTAGGCTCATATTTTAAAAGCCTCCACAGAATGAAGGAGGGGAGAGGGCAGAAGCAGGAGCCCAGTCAGGAGGTTACCATACTGCAGTCATCTGGCAAGAGAAGACAGTGGCTCAGACCCAGGTGACAAAGGTGCAAAGTGAAGGTGGTGAGAAGTGGTCTGCTTCTGGATGTATTTTGTGGCTTGTGACAACAGATTTGATAACAGATTATGAGGTGTGAAGAAAGAGAGGAGTCAAAATGACTCCAAGGATTTTGAGTTTAGCAACTGCAAAGATGGAGTTGCCATCTACAGAGGAGAACTGTGGGAGGAGCCCGTTGGTAGGTGAGATGTTTCAGATGTTATCTCCAATTCTCCTTTGACACACCTGGAGCTCAGGAGAGAGGCCTAGCCTGGAGATAATTGAGAAGTCGTCAACCTACAGATGGTTTTTAAAGCCTTGAGACTGGATGCGATTACCCAGAGAATGAGCAGAGAGAACCTGAGGCAGCAAGATGAAGAGCAGCCAGCAAAGACTGAGCAGGAGCAGTCAGTGAGGTAGGAGAGCCAGGAGAGCATCCAGTCCAGGCTCTTTAATCAACTTTCAAGAGCAAGCACTTGTTATTTTTTAACCTGTGAAGAAGAAGGCAAGGGTAAAAACCAAATACTACTCTGAGGCCTGAAAGGAAAAAAACCTGAAAATAAGCCAGTTTCATGAGGTCTGGATTTCTGGAGATAAAAATCAGAAAAAGAAATGCTTTGTAAGAGGCAGGTGAAGGGAAAACATTTTATATTAACAGTCGAGTGAAGAAGAATATCAAGGGCACATTGCTCCCTTCTTAGAAAAGAGAAGGCTCATGCCACCAAAAGGAATGTTGATCATCTACTGTGGGCCAAGCAATTAGGTATATTAATTCATGACCTAATGAAATACTGGGCACATATTAAGGACAAGACAGTGTTATCTTCTCCTCATATTCGATCTCCACAAGTAGTTATCACTAGTCTTATTTTATAGATAAGGCAACAGGTTAAGAGAGGATAAATGATAGCTAAGGAGCAGTAAAGCCTTTTCTTTCTGAGGTTGCAAGGAAGGCACCTTCAAGGCCTTTGAGATCCTTTGTAAAAACGGCAGTAGCTTTTTGGTAACCAACACAGAAATTGGAAAACAAGAAGGTTTGAGAAATTAGTGACCAGCCAAGGGAACTCTGGTTTAAACAATACATAGAATCATAATTGTGACAACGACATTAGAGTGTAAAGCTTGGCCAATGCTATTTTATGTACATTATTCTATTAAATATTCCTGTCACCCCCTTGAGTCAGGTGTTATCTTTTGATAGTTGAGAAAACTAAGGCTCAGGGAGATTAAATTCACATAGCCAGTGGGAGTCAGGACCGACTCGAGAGCGCTTGCCCTTAACCAGTAGGCTACACTGCTTCCCTGCACTTGCATAACCAAGACATGACCAGAGCTGGACACTCTCCAAAAGAGATTCAAGGTTAAAATACAACTTGATACTTTAAATCGAGAAACTCCCCACAGCAGGTCTGGCACAGTCTGAATTCAAGGTCACACTTTCCAGTCTTGCCCTGGTTTTGACGTCTATTGGGTTTATTTCAACATGTCGGCCAGTGTTGAGAGAACTTTTCTCATTATATCTACATTTTTCTGGCCCATTTTTCTTTGGTACCCTTCTTTAAGATGATTTTGACCAGCGTGAAGACTTCCTTTGCTGGGTTCACTGGCTTATGAAAAAGAAATTCTTCACACAAGTACCCTTGGTATCTCCAGCTGCAGGAGGAGGGGCCTTGGGTGCCCCCAGGAAGAATCTTGGTAAGAGGGGCTGAGTCTAGGTCATTAAGACCCCGGGCAAGTCACTCTCCTCCCCTGCCTCAGTGAACCAAGGAAGGCAAGGTAGGCTAGGTGAGATAAAAATTTCACAACTTGAGGTACGCACATCACAGGATGCAAGAGAATTCTAAGTGTTATGTAGGCAAATTTTTATCATATTATAAATATTATGTATCTATTTTCACGGATATTAGAAAAACAATGGATCACATGAAACCTACAATTTTATCAATATTATTGTTTAGATGAAGGTAAATTTATTTAACAAAGCAACGTGAATCTATCTGAAGAAAAGCATTAAATAAATGAGAACAACAGGTGAGCGATATACATGTGACAGCTTGGCAAATACCGGACTAGGTGATCATTAAAGGCCCTTCCATGGCTTAAGTTGTACAACTATTAGATTTAAAAATTAGAATAAATGGCATTTACACTATAACAAGAGGGTACCATGGGGATACGATGTAGTATAATAATATGATGATCCGAGTATTTGAAGTTAGTGATTTGTCTGCCTACTTATTTTTTTTCTTACCAGGGCAAACATCCCAGCTTCCTCCTCAGATATTACTTTTCTAATTAATAATAATAACAACAACTACCATTTACTGAGTACTCACTATGAGCCAGGAACTGTGCTAAGTGCTTTTCACCATGTTCTCATTTTAAATTCTCACAACCCTTTGGGTTAGGTATCTGCAGCTTCATTTTATAAGTAAGGAAATAAGACTCAGAAGTAAAGTGACTGCCCAAGGCCAGCCACCTAATCAATAGCAGAGCCAGGGTTTGAAAGGAAGTCTGTCATTGTCCAAAACACCTATTTTCTTTGTCATAATGCAATTCTATCTCATTGACAAGTTTGAGGTCACCTACACAGCTTATCTCCCCACCCCTTGCCCCCAGACTCTTTTAGCAGTCAGAATCTCCCTTTTTTTTTGGTACAAAGTATAATAAAATACGATCCCTCCCTTCTAGCTCCTTGCTACAGGAAGTGTGGTCCACAGACCAGCAACATCAGCATCACGAGAAACTTGTTAGAAATGCAGAATCTCAACTCCCACTCCAGACCTACTGAATCAAAATCTTAATTTGAACAAGATCCCCAGGTGATCTGTACGCATGATAAAAATTAAGACACCTGATCTAGAAAAAGAGACGAGCTATCCTGGAGAAAGTACGTGGAAAAGATGAAGAGAGTTGTACAGGCTGAAAGACCACATGGACAAAGTCTTAGAGGTGAGAAAGGGTCAGATCTGTTTGAAGCTGGGGCATGGGATGGGTGTTGAGTGATTATAGAGATGAGGTCAGACGGTGAAGAGCTTTGAATGCCAGGCTCAAGAGCTGAGACTTTATCCTGAGGGAAACAGAAAACCACTCAAGGGTTAAGCAGGGAGATGGGATTGGATGTGCATAGAGCCCTCTGAGAAAATCTTTCTATTCATTCAAGATAGATTGGATTCTTTTTTTTTTTTTTTAGATTGGATTCTGATAGGCCAGGAGAGAATACTCCAGCCCCTGAGTGCAGCATAATTAAGGCCTGTTCTGGACAATGACTGGCCATGGGATTTGCTGATAGCTAAGAATCACAGAATGTCAGCACTGGAAGGAGCTTTCGAGATCACCATTTCATAGAAAGTGAGACTCAGGGAGACCACACAGCAAGTTAACAAGCTATCTTGTGGGCACAGTGGTAAATGTTGGATGTGTGTGTAATCCTCAGTTTTACCCTCCTCCTCCAAATCCAGTCCCCCAGATGATACTTCTCAGGCTGGCATTCAAGGATCTTAACTTTCATTATCCCATTTTACAGATGAGAAAGCTGAGGCAAAGCTGGTCAGTGGTGGAATTAGGATTTCAACCAATGCTTTTACCTGCTACATGATACCCTACATACCTTTCATGATTCGCCATGCCCACCCCCCACCTTCCCATCCTTAGCTCCAGGCAGTCCAATCAGGGTTCCCTCTCTCCATCTTCTCTCCACTGCTGCCACTACCTTAGAGCAGGCTACCAGCCTTATCTGGCCTGGTATCCCCATAACAGCCAATGATTCTTCTAAATAGAAAATCCCATCATGTCCCTCCTCTGATTTAAGGCTTCTGGTGGCACTGCATAACCTAACAGTTTGTTCTAATTCTTATGCTGGCTTCCAACACCTTCTACTTTCAGGCCACATCTACTTCTCTGGCCTCATCTCTAAGCCTTCGCTTTTGCTGTTTCTCCTCCTGGAATGCCCTTCCTCCTCATCCAGTTGCCAAATCCCCACTAAGTCTTCAAAACCCAAGTCAAAACTCTGTGATGCCTTTCCCACTGCCTTGAGTTGTTTGCCCTCAACCCTCTGTCTAGGCCCTCCATGTTGGTTTCCCTGTTCACTCCTGGCCCCAGGGTTCAGCCCAGAAAGCCTTTGATAAAAATGAGTTGAAAAATCTCGGGAAGGATGACCTCGCCCAAGGTCCTGAACTTTCAGGAGAAGAATGAATCATAGCAACAAATATGTACATAGTGTTTATTATGCGCAAGACACATCTAACTCTTTACATGTATTTAATCTTCACAACCTCAATAAGTAGGTGCTGTTATGATTTCCCTTTTACAAATGAGGAAACTGAGGCACAAAGACGTTAAGAAACTTGCCCAAGGTCACACAGCTGGTAAGTGATGGAGCTGGAAGTCAACCCTAAGCTCTGGAGTCTGGGTTCTTAACTTATGGGCCAAAGGTGGAGATCAGGGGATCCACAGGGCCAGAAGAGGCAGGCTGAGCTAGGATGATAGGCGCAAGAGACCTGAGAAAAACAGAACTAAATAGTTATTTTGACTGGAAGAGGAGGCCAAAGCAGCCAGCCCCCTCCTCCTAGGGCACACTACATCCACTAGGGGGCAGCACAACTTCCTTTCCCTGGGAACTGGCCCCTGTGCGGGAAGAAATCAGAGGGAGCCTAAGTTCAGAAACCATGCCCAGCGGGAGCCCTCCAGCTGGACTCTGGCTGGGGTGGGAGTCCTGTAGGGTTCTGGGAAGTGGAAATATACCTGGTTAGGCAGTTAGGGTCTCGAATGGGGAAATCGAACTCATACTCTGATCTCTCTAAACCTCCTCTCCTCAAACCTTCAACACCCTCAGGTAAAACCCAGACACCCACCTAGCCGGCCAATCACCCTCCTCTCATCCATACTTCAGCACAACTGAACCACCTGCCTTCACTTCTCCCAGTACCCCACTCACTCCTCTGAGCCACTGAAAGGGCCAGTCCTTCTTCCCCTCAGAGCCCCCTCAGTCTCAGATAAGCCATCCCTTTACTAACTTTGAGACCTTGAGCCAGTCACCAAACTGTCCAGTTTGCTGGGCCTCAGTTTCCTCACCTGTAAAATGGAATAAATACTACCTACGTTATAGAATTGAGGTTCTTAGAACATTGTCTGGCACATAGTAAATGCTACCAAGAGTCAGCTGTTACTGTTGCTCTTACCTAACCTGACCTCCTCCCCACCCCTAAGTCTGCATTACGTTCCCATCTCTGGGCTTCCACACCCCCTGTGCCTGCACCCTGCAATCATACAAGATTGCAGCTGAGTGGTAACTTGTCTAACCCCACTAGACATCAAGTTCCATGGGGAACCAAGGATCGAGTTTACTCTCCAGCACCCAGCACAGAGCCTGGCACAGTAGGTGTGACATCCATATGATGGCAGCATGGGCAGTGGGGCAGAAGAATGGGCGGCCAACCCTGAGATTATAGGTCCTAAAATTCAGAGAAAAGTAGGGGCTGGCTGTCTTGGCTTCTGTCTGAGGGAGGCTGGACCTGGACCAGATGTAGGGGCAACGGGCCCCAGGGTGTGGGACACATACCTCCTTGTTGTCCATAGGGATCTTGAGTTTCACCACCTCATACTTCTCCTCACCCTCATCCTCCTCACCCTTCACCAGCAGCACCATCTCCTCTTGCATCTCTTCCTCCTCCTCCTCCTCTGTCTGCTGTTCGCCAGGCATCTTGGTGTCCTGAGGCGGGGAGCTGGGTGAGAAGCTCAGGACCTGCCCCTCTACCATGGCCCTGGCCCTGGCCCTGGCCCTGGCCCAGGCAAGGCGGTACAGCCGTGGCTTCTCCCGCCCTGCCCTGGTCTCTGAGTCTGGCCCTGTCCCCTCCATCTCACCCTGGACCTAGGCCCCAGCACTGCTCCGGGACCAGTTCCAAAGACACTCGTTCACCCCCCACTCATCCCGGCATTCAAGGCCCTGAACACTTCGAATCTCCAGCCCCAGCAAGTCGCCACCCTCCCCGCGCTGAGTCACTCCTCGGCGCCTGAGTCGGCGGCCCGGAGCTCTAGGGCATGGGATGGAGGCGGGATCGGGGCGGAGACCCTGGGGGAGTGCGCACTCACCAGCCGCAGGTTCCGCGCTCGTGCTGCCCCAGGCCAGGGCGCCGGGCGGTTGGGCACTCTGCGAGGCCGCGGCTCTGGGGGCGGGGAGGGGCGGGGAGCGGCGGGGAGGGGCCTCTAGAGCGGCCGGTCATTGGTCATGACACCTAACCCCGCCCCTGAGGGGGAGGGGCCCGAGGACCCAGGAGTCCGGCCCAAACTGCCCCGGGAGGGTGGCGAGCCCAGAGCCGGCACCCTCCGCTGTCCCCAACTCCGGGGGACCCCAGGCCGCCCCGTCCCGGCGTTCAAGGTCCTCGCCGTCCGGTTGTAACGTACCTTCAAGGCTCGTCTCCTGTGGCCAGCTCGTAGGTCTCAGCCACGGCCAGACACGTCTGCTCCGCCCGAAATAGGCCACGTGCGCTCCCGCCCCGGCCTGGGCCTCTCGCTGGCGCCCCGCCTGGAGGGCGGACCCTGTTGCCTCCTCACCTCTTCCCTTCTCTCTTTTTTCCTTCTCTCCCGTCTTTTCTCCTTCTTTCCTGAGGTCGCCTTGCCAGTCTCCTGGTCTCTGGGATATCCTGCTCCTTGAATGCATACTTCCCAAACCAACAGCCTCCCCGAGCTACCGCTGCCGCTTGTTGTTTGGTGTGCCTACTAGACGCCAGCGTTATGCTAAGCGTTTTACACACCTGATCGCCTTAGATCCGCACAAAGGTGGGTCTATTTTACAGAGGAGGTAATTGAAGTTCAGGGAGGTAAACTGATTTGCCTAAGTTATTATACATAGCATCCTTGACAACCTGCAGCCTAGGCAGAGACGTAGCAGCACACGAGCCAAATCCAGTCTGCAGAAGTATCTTATTTGGACCTCAGGGTATTTTTGCTTTTAAAAATTAATTTCAAAAAAATGAGCGGTCTTTCACAAATTTTAATTTCCAACATTTAAAAACTGGGATATTTCATATAAAGATATATATTTTCCACTTCTCGTGAAAAAGATATCTAATTCTACCATTTTATGAATGGGGCAACTAAGATTCAGAAATGAAAAGAGAAATAACATTCAGTAAGTGTTTATAATCCATAAGTCTCTTTACAACAGCCATGTGGGGATCAATAATATTATCTCCAGGCCGGCCCCGTGGCTTAGCGGTTAAGTGCACGCGCTCCGCTACTGGCGGACGGGGTTCGGATCCCCGGCACGCACCATGCACCCTTCTCCGGCCATGCTGAGGCCGCGTCCCACATAGAGCAACTAGAAGGATGTGCAGCTGTGACATACAACTATCTACTGGGGCTTTGGGGGAAAAAAAGGAGGAGGATTGGCAATAGATGTTAGCTCAGAGCTGGTCTTCCTCAGCAAAAAAAGGAGGATTAGCACGGATGTTAGCTCAGGGCTGATCCTCCTCACACACACAAAAATAATAATAGTATTATCTCCCTTTGACAAACTAGTGAACTAAAGCTTAGAGAGCTTAATTAATTTGCTCAAAGTCACATAGCTGGTAAGTAGCAGATTCCAAAGCTACTGCTCTTTCTATTGCACCAAATTCTCTCTCAGAAATGAAATTACACAAGGAAATTGGTGGCAGAGCCAGGACTCAAACCTGAGCCTCAGGCCGAAGAGCCCAGGGCGTAATTTGGATGTTGGGATTACATCTGGTCAAACTTATGCTCTCCCCCAGAGCTGGGAAGAGGGGGCAAATGCCTAGATACTCACACTCAAGATCCCCAAAAGCCACTTTGCTTGTGTTCGTTCTCTCATCAAGTATATATTGAGCCCTACTATGTGCTTGGCACCATTCTAGGTATTGGAGATGCAGTAGTGAACAAAACAGACAAAAATCTTGGCTACTATGGCACTTCTAAGGGTGTAAAAAATGTAAACGAGTAAATAAACAAGATAATTTCAGATAATGCTAGGTGCAAGAAGGAAATAGGGCAAGATGATGCAATAGCGAGTGGCTGTGGTTGGGGGGCTTCTTTAATGTGGGCAAGGAAGGCATCTCTGAGGAAATAATATTTGAGATGAAGCTTGAATGATGAGAAAGGGTCAGCCATTTGAAAATCTGGAGGAAAAGTGTTCTAAACAGAACTTCAGAGGCCTTAAGGTGAGAATAAGCTTGGCATGTTTGAGGAACAGAAAGAAGGCTTGTGTGGCTGGAGCCAAGGGAGTTAGCAAGGGGAAATGTAATGTGGGAAATGGAGGAGAGGTAGGCAGGGGCCAGATTATGGCTGGAACCCCACCTCTAGCAAAAAGAAGGCCTCCTTGCCCTGATTCAGAGAATGAGTGAGGAGACTCAGCTGGGAACAGTGCAAGTCCCTATGGAAGGGCCTCCTGCTGTTGGAGGACTTTGGAACAGATGCTTGCAAAAGGAGGAAAAGGACTCCATCCCTTTACAAACACAAGTATCCACCTGGAATCAGATCTAGTCTCTGTTCTTGAGAATCTCATAGTCTAGTAAAGAAGATTTATTTTATAAAAGATATACAGGGGCCGACCTGGTGGTGCAGCGGTTAAGTGCGCAAGCTCTGCTTCGGCGGCCCAGGGTTTGCGGGTTTGGAACCCCGGGCGCGCACCAACGCACCACTTGTCTCCAATTCTGCAGCCTGGGTTTCACAGGTTGAGATCCTGGGCGCCCACCGACGCATAGCTTGTCAAGCCGTGCTGTGGCGGCGTCCCATACAAAGTAGAGGAAGATGGGCACGGATGTTAGCTCAGGGCTAGTTTTCCTCACACACAAACACACAAATATATATATATAAATTATACATGAAAAGGAAAAATATATATAAATATAAATTATATATATATATATGAAAAGGAACACCTATGAAAATAGGTGTTCTGGCAGGAGAATAGTGGGATGAGTGAATAACTGAATAACTCCCTTGAAGGGAATGAATACTGGGTGTAGGCCTCACTGAGGAGATAAACGTGAAGGACCTTCAAAGATGAGTGGGAGTTTGTCAGATGGACAAGGAGGGAACAGCGTGTGAAGAGCACACCATGTTCCAAAGACACTGTTCACCAAAGTATTTAGTGAGGCCTATTGTGTCCCAGGCCCCTGTTAGGACTGGGAGGTAAAACGTTGAATTTGGAAGTCTTCAGCTTACTCCTCATTACTCTGCATTTCACTCTATGCCTTCAGCCCCACTGAAACTTTACTTCAGTTCTTGAATCCCCCAAGGATTTGGTGCATACTCTTCACTCTGCCTAGGACAGTCCATCTCCCATCCCACCTCCCACCTCCTCCTCTCTTAGCTTACTCCAAGTCAGTCTTGAGGTCTAAACATAATTGCCACTTCTTTGGAGAGGCCTTTGGATCACAGGATTCTCTGCTGCATGCAAACTTCCTACATGTATGCTTCCTGCATAGTCCCTACTACACTTGTAATTATTTGTTCAATGTCTATCTTCTGCATAAAAACTGAGGGCAGAGACTTTGTCTTATTCATCCTTCTATTGCTAGTACGTAGCACACAGTGAGTAATGATGTTATGAATGAATAATTATCCTCAAGAAGTCTCCATGTGTTAAGTGCTCAGATGAAGGAGATTCTAACCCAGGCTAGAAGGCTCCTGGGAGGAAGTAATGCTTGAGGTATTTTGACTGGAGAGGTCAACAAATGTGTGTGTAGGGGTGGGGTGGGGGTGTGTGTGTAAAGGAAACATTTAAGAGGCACAGGGCTGAAACCTCACAAGTGGAAGGCGTTGAATGCCAACTAAGGAGTTGCATTTTACAGAGAAGATATGCCGAGATACGGCAGGGTTTTTAAATAGGAGAGTGACATGGTCAGATGTAATTTTACAAAGTTCACTGCAGAACGGCTTGGAGGCTGACCTGGTAGGGAGCCACGAAAACCAGCAGAGAGGATCTTCCAAAGGCTCAAAAGGCCTCCATTCAGGCCTAGGGGTGTGTGTGCACTTAAGGACCGAAGCCGCCAAGAACCCCAGGCCTGAACGAAAAATTCTGGATTTCTAGTGTGTATAATTTGGCAGGGGTGGGACCACCAGGAGGAACCGCACGGCAGCAGGTTTTCATTGGTTTCTAGGGAAGCGTCCGATGGTTAAGATCTCGCGAGAGCTTCTATCCAGGGACCATTCCCGTACGCAGATTAGCTGAGACACCCCGCCCGAGAAGTTGCCAAGCGATCCTGTACTTATTTTCTTAGAGGGGTGAACGCCCTAGTCTTTTTTGTCCCTGGCCAATCAGGTCAGTTCCTCTTTCCCCTTCCCCCCTATTGGCGCCCACCTCGGAAAAAGCTAGGATTGGGAGTCTTCCTGCTAATGACGCACTGGTCGCTGGGAAATACGGTTACCCTTTCCAGGGGACGAAGAGGCATCCCCTTTGCCCTCCCTTTGGGCTGTGCAGCCAAATGACCTGTTTCTCGACAAATAAAGAGTCTCAGGGAGGTGGCGTTTCCCAGTACGCAGAGCTTCAGTGTCCGGGCCTTCTGCGCCTGTGCCAGACCGGCCGGCCACATTTCTCCCGGTACCTGTCGCCATAGCAACAGCGCTCACTGAACACCCCTCCCACCCCGTGGCGTCGCGTGTTTTCCCTTTTAAGGGTCGCACTCATTGCTGTGGCATAGGTGGCGCCTGTGAGCAGCCAGAACTCAGGTCAGGGGCATCAGTTGACAGACTTGGTGGCCGTTTTTTAACCCGATGTCAGAGCTAGAAAGTGGCTGACTATGCCAAGCGAACTTCTGTATTTGACGGGCGCAAAGAGGGTAAGGGACCCACACAAGTTTACACATGGCTTATGGGTTTCACTTGTGGTGACCATTCGACACCTTTTTCACCTTTCACCATGCACTCACACACAAATAGAGTCCAAGCCTCAGACAAGAAGCAGTTTATTGGTGAGGAGACACATGGAGATGTGGCTTTTGGGCCTTGGATCTTCCCTGGCCTCTCCTCACTCCAGTCCTGCGCTTTTCCCAGCCAGTTTGTTTCTGCTGATATCCACCAGAAGGACCTGGGCTTGGCATTCGGAGCAGATGAGTGCTCCTTCTGCCATCCTGGTCTATGCTGCCATGTCCAGGTGTCAAGGTGGTTTGGGGTTCTCCAGGGCAGATAGGTGTGGGCTCTGTCCAAGAGCACCCTTTCTGGCTAAGACCATGTCCAGTGTCCTGAGGCTGGGTACTGGCTGCCACACAGTAATATTCTCCCTATCAGAAGGATGATCAAGATGCCCCTGCCTCATTCTGTCACCCTAAACTCCAGAAGTCTCATTGTTGCAGCTCATAAGGTCAAACAAACCCTGGTTCCAGGTGCTGGTCTCCCAGGGGCAAGGTTGGGAGGGATCAATTCTTAACTGGTTAAGAGGCAGCAGTAATTTAGGGTTAAAGGCCCTCAGGCTAAGGCCAGTTGATTCATTCAATGTATCTGAGTGCCTACTGTGTACTAGGCAATGTTCTAGAAGCTGGGGGTATAGACCACACTGGCAAGGTCCTGCCTGAGCCCAGCCAGGACAGTTTCCTGAGCTTCAAGGTCATTGTCTCCAATCTCTATTTCTATCTATTCACTCCTTTTTCCCGTTTCTTCCCCTCCTTCTCCCCCCCACTACCTCCCAGGCCCATTCTTCTCTGCTTAAGCAGCAGATACCCTCCCTTTGGTCTCTTGGGCCTCCACCCTCCCTAGACCCCATCATTCCAGTCCTGTTAGTGGCTCCTCCTTGAGCGGCCTTGCCCGACCATCCCCTGTCCCAAAGGGCCTCAGGACCAGGTGCCCACGCTGGTGCTTGATTCGGGCAGAACTGTCACCAAAACCCTTGCCACACTCTGCACACTTGTATGGCTTCTCCCCAGTGTGTGTGCGCCTATGTTTGACAAGATCTGAGCTCCGGGGGAACTCCTTCCCACAGAAGCCACATACATGGGGCTGGCTGGGTACAGAGGGCTGGGCCCGGACCCGGGGTCGGGGGGCTGTGGGTGCGGTGCCAGGGGGGTTATGCAGCCTCAGGAGAGTGGATGGTGGTGGTGGCCGAGCCCGTTCACCACGGTGGGTGCGGAGGTGCTTGACGCGGGCTGAGCTGTCGGCAAAACCCTTGCCGCATTCAGGGCAGAGGTAGGGTTTTTCTCCTGTGTGCACACGATGGTGTTTCACCAGGTCTGAGCTTCGGCGGAAGCCCTTGCCACACTCAGGGCACTTGTGGGGCTTGTCACCCTCCAGTGGTGGGGGCGGCTCCCCAGCCTGTGGGCCCCCAGGCTCTGGCTCCAAACCAGGCAGGCCAAAAGGCCCATCACCCGAGTGTGAAGGGCTTCGAGGTGTCAGCGGGGGGCTGGTGCCAAGAGGAGGTGGGGGTGGGCTTGAGCTGGGGGGTGGGCTGGGGATCAGGGGGGCCAGAGGGTAGCCTGGGAAGCTGAAGTCCTGGGGCTCCATGTGAGTGAGGCGGTGGCGGAGAAGGGTGGAGCTGAGACTGAAGGTGCGGTCACATTCCGGGCAGGCGTGAGGCCTTTCGCCACTGTGGGTGCGGAGGTGCTTGACCCGGGCGGAGCTGTCAGCGAAGCCCTTGCCACACTCAGGGCACAGGTAGGGCTTCTCTCCTGTGTGCACCCGCAGGTGCTTCACCAGGTCTGAGCCCCGGGCAAACTCCTTTCCACACACATCACAGCCAAAAGGTTTGGGCCCTAGGTGACTGCGCTGGTGGCTCAAAAGGCTGCAGCTGAGCACAAACCTTTTGCCACAATCGGTGCAGATATATGGCTTGTCCTGGGCCTTAGGTCCCTGTGCAGCTGCCGTGGCTGCTCGAGATGGCTGCCGTCGGGGCATCACAGGCCGGGGTGGCTGCTCCCCCCGGTGTGTCCGCTGGTGCTTTATGCGGGCAGAACTGTCGCCAAAACCCTTGCCACATATGCCACACTTGTAGGGCTTCTCGCCAGTGTGTGTCCGCTGGTGTTTCACCAGGTCAGAACTCTGCCGGAAGCTCTTGCCACATTCACCACAGATAGTGGGGCGCTCACCAGCAGGGATCCTGGATCGAGGAATCTTTGGGGGGCCCTGGGCTGGTGGCCGGGCTCTGTAGGGTTTTTCACCACTATGAGTTCGCTGGTGTTTGATACGGGCAGAGCTATCCCCAAAGCCCTTGCCGCAGACCCCACACTTGTAGGGTTTCTCCCCTGTGTGGGTCCGCTGGTGTTTCACCAGATCTGACATCTGCCGAAAGCTCTTGCCACACTCGCCACACACAGCAGCCCGATCATTAGCCTGGCCCCAGCGTGGTTCTCCCAGCAGCCGGGGGCCTCTGTCCCGAGCCTGAGGTTTTCCTGGCCCCTCTCTCTGGACCCACAAGTCATCCCAGGTCTGGATGCCTTCCGGTTTGAGAGAGGCATTTCCTACTTCATGACCTGGGGCCAAATCTTCCTCTTCCTTGAACCCCAAGTCATCCTCCTGTGGAGTATGTTCAAATTCATCCGGGTGAGAAAGCTCCACATTCTCACTCCCTAGACCTGGGGAAAGAAAAGGAAGTTGTAGACCCTGCCCTTTAGCTCAGCCCCTATCTTCCATAGCAACCTTCCCAGGAAGGCTTCCTTGACAATCTGAGGTCACAAAGCTCTCTCTCACTCTCTCACCTCTGAACTTCTGAAGCACTTATTATTGTTTGTGCCTCTCATTAATAATAGAACTTCCTTATTCTGTGCCCTTAATATGTGCCAATCACTGAACTAAGCATTACTGGATGCTTGCAAACAATCATACGAGGTAATACTATTACTATCCCCATTTTACAGACATGGAGACTCAGAGAATTTAAGTTACTTGCTCAAGGTTATAAAGGCTAGAAAGTAGCAAAGCCAGGTTTCTAACTCAGGTCTGATTCCCAAGCCTGTGTTAACCACTACATTATATTGTCTCTATTTGGAAAAGCTAGTATTTGCTATTTATATTTTATCTTTTCATATTAGCCCATTCTGTAATTTATTACTTCAATCATCTTGTGTGTATCTGAGAGGACCCAGCACACACCTGTCCCTCAAGATGCTTGGGGTTGGTAGGAGAGATAAAATAAAGCATAAGTAATTATAACTGGCTCAGAATAACTGTGCTGTCACGAGAGAGGAAATAAGGAGACAAGGCTGGGCTTTCACAGCAGAGAAAAGAGTAAACCATGGAGAGGAATGGAAGATTAAGCTGGAAAGGGATGTTGGGACTAGATTAAGCATGTAAGGACTGGATTGAACACTAGGGTAAGGCTTTTAATTAGTGGGCAGAAGGGAGCTAGGGAAGGTTTTTGAGAAGGGAGACAGGATTAGATTGGACTTAGATCAGTGTGGCTGTAGAGTGTATCACTGGAAAGAAAAGGGCTGAGGGGAGGCTGCTGCAATTGCCAGGATGAGACAGAATGAGGCTTGAAGTAGGGCAGAGGCAGTGCGAATGGTGATGACTGTCCGGGAAGGGGAGAATCCTTGAGATGACGCCCATTAAGGCCTGGCGCACAGTAGGTTCTCAGAAACACTGGCTCTTTCCCTTGGCCTTTGCTCCCCTCCCCCTCTCTCCCTGGAAGCACAGTTCATATCCGATTTTTCTGGGTCTCGGCCAGGTAAAACCAACACCGGGGTCCCCACCCAGCCATTACCTGCCCACGGCGGCGAACCGCCGCGCCCTCACCTGTGCGGGCGCCTCTCAGCTGCTCCCTCTCCTCCCGGCCATGGAGATCCGGGCCCCAGGGTTCCACCGCGCGCTCCATCGCCAGCACGCCGCCCTGAGCAAGGAGACAGACACAATCCCACGGTCACACAGCCATGTGCGGCCCGCGGCGCCCTGCCGCTGCCCTCTGCCGACCGGCGCGGACACCGGGCAGCGTCCGGGTCCGAGGTGCGGGGCGCGGCGCCTGGTGACCCCCGCCTGCGCCGCCGTCCGCCACTGCACCTGCTGCTCCTTCCGGCACGCAGCCGCCCCTTCACCTCCCGGCCACCACCGGCTCCGCCACGCCGGTGCCCTCCAGAGCTCCTCGGCTGGGCTCCGGTGCCCGAGCCGCTGGCGGCTCCGGGACGCGGGATCCGCGCCAAATCGGGAGGGGGCTCGGACCCAGGCGTCCCGGGGGCGGCCGCCGGGGGCGGGGACGGGAAGCGGAAGCGCTGGGCCGCACCGAGCCGCTCTAGGACCTCGGAGGAGCCGCACGCCTGTGGGGGCCGCCCCCGTCCTCCCGAGCTCGGTGGCTGGCGGGCGGCCGCGTGCCGCGGAGAGGGCTACTCTAAGCCGAGGAACAGTTGCCCGAACTCGGTGGTATTAACCGTGTGCCTCCTGGGCTAGAGCTGGGTGATGAGGGCCGAAGACGCTGCCTAATGGTCGCCGTGTGGGGCTACCTGCGCCGACCTCCCCGGCTGGCCGACAGCGCCAGCCACCCCAGCCCGGAGAGACAAAGAGATCCAAAGACGGACCCAGAGAAAGGGGTGGGGGAAAGATCAAGGCAGACAAAGGGCGGCAGAGGGCGGCGGAGACCCCAGACGGGGCGGGGGCGGGGCGCCGAGACGCTGGAAACAAAGCGGGGCCGGTCCGAGAGGCCGAGGGCTGGGGGTGGGGCCGGGGGTGGGCTGGGCTCGGGGAGACCGAGGCAGGAGGAGAGGCTAGTGGCTGGCGCCAGATAAATGCTGGGAAGAGGCCGGCGGATAGAATCAGACCTGGGGCACAGAATAGAGACTCACAGACATAAAGTCATAACCTAGGAGCCCTTAGTCAGAGAGGACACAAAGGCAGAGAGAAACCGAGAGACAGCGGCAGACTGAAAATATGGGAGAAAAAGATTGGCCGCCAGAGACAGAGATGTAGAAATATAAAGTCATCGAAGCAGAGTCGGAGGAGCTATAAGAAAAGGCAGGGAGCCAGGGGAGAAATAGGCTCAGAGGCAGAGGAACAAAGAGTGAAATAAGCAGAGACAAAGAGACAGAGACACAAAGAAAGAGGCCATGGGGAGGCTAGGGACAGATCCACAGCCCTACAAAGGCCAAGCCCAGGGAGAGGCTGAAACATTAAACCCTCTTTTCCAGCTTGGTGGGGCCCTGGCTGAGGCTGTGTTCCAGCAGATCACAAGTTGATCACAAGCATGATCCCAAGTTGCCTTTGGGGAGAGGGGAGTGCCTGGAAATGCCTGCAGCTGGTCTAATGATGGAGAGGGGTAGCAGAGGTTTATATATTAATTCACATTTATTAGCACCTCAGTGCTAAGCCAACAGTTTGGCATAAAGAGATCAAACACATGTAAGATTTGTTCTTGGAGTGCTACCAGTTTAAAGGGGCAAGCACACAATTCCTGAAAAATAGAGAACTGTGAGGACATGAGAGTTACATGGATCCGTTCAAGATGGTGTGGGAGAGGAGGAAAGGTTCTAATCTATGGGAATGAGCCTGCATGTCTCTGTGTGCCTGGTATGTATGGATGTTAGACACTGATAGAAACAGGGACCATAATATCAATCAATACATATTTAATTGATCACCAACCAATATCTAGACACCGTCTAGGCCCTGGAAATACAAAGAAACTCCTCAGAGAGCTCTCGGCCCAGTAGAATATGGAGATGTGCAGATGATGTGACATATTCTGTACTAACCTTATGACCAAGATATGCAAGGAGTGTAGTGCAGAGAAAGATACCTTCTGTAGAGTTTAGTGGCTGTGGACACTGTCTTTAAGGTCATTAATGCAGTTAGATTCTCGGCCTTGTCATTTACTACTGTTTGACCTTGGAGAAGTTACTTTTGTTTCCTGAACTGTAAAATGGGGATGATAGTATCTAACTTGAATGGTTGAGAATTGATATATGTAAAGCACTTAGCAAAAAATATCAGCTATTACTCTTTTGGCTGGAGTAACCAAGGAAGACGGTGGCATTTTTGAGCTGATCCTTTCAAGACAGCTAAGATTTCAGCAAAGTCTAGAGCCTGGCTGAAGTGAGGGCTGAGTGAAGACCTCCAGGCAGAGGGAATGAAATGAACAGCAGACCATACACTAATTGAAAACCTATTATATGCCAGAAGTTTGAGATCCAAAGATGATTAAGACCTATCTTCAGGAAACTAAGGCATAGTTATGTTTTAATGTGTCATGAGTTTACATGATAGGAAAGCAGTGGAAGCTAGAGATAGAATGGTAAGTTTATTCATTTGTTCCACAAACATTTCCTGGGGATCCACCATGTGCTAGGCACTTGTGCTGGGAAACAGAGGTAAGAGGGTACCAAACGGCAAAGAGCCAGCTGCCCTTGGAGGAGCCTCCCCCAAAGGCTGGCCAGCTCACACACCATACTCACTTGCAGAGCTGGCTCTGACTTTGAGAAGACAAAGCCTGGAGTTATTAGGTCTGAACCTGAACTCAGATCTAAAGATACAGAAGCCCCTCCAGGGATGTCTGATAGGGGCATAGGTAGTTATGAAGACATGAGGGCAAGGTGAAAAAGAACTAATCCAGATGACTGTTAAATGGGAAAACTGCTGTCCACCATACACTGCCCCATAGGAAGCTCAAGGGGGGCCCTTCCTTTCTTCAAGCAGACAGGCCGCAAACCTTATCACATGAATGATGGGGCATAATTTGTTGGAGTTAGTAAGCATGTAAATGGAATATTGTGTCACTATTAATTCGTGTCATCTCTACACTTAGCACGAAGACCAGCCAAGAGCCTTTTCTACAGGATGATTTGTTAATATGCACAAGTGCCTTAAATATGTGACTTCCTTTGACTCAGTAATTCTCCTTATAGAAATTGGGCCCAAGGAAATGGTTGGACAAGCGCACAGTGATAGTACCACAAACATGTTCATCCCAGCTCAGCCTTGTTTATCACAGGGAGGACTAGGAAACAAGCTAAATGCTAAGCATCTATAAAAATGATAATGTAGATGTGTATTTATTATAATAGAAAGATCTAGAGAACACATGAAGTGAAAAAAGCAGATTTCCAAAGTTATTGGATGATCCTAGTTTTGTAAATATATATTTATTTATATGTATAGGCATGGGAGAAAATCTAGAAGGATAAAAATCAAATTGGGGTTCTATCATGGTAGTGATATTAGATGTAAATTTTTCTAATCCATTTGTGTTTTCTAATTTTTCTATGAGAATATGTGTTGATTATACAATAAATAAGTGAATAAACATGTTATTTTCTTAAAGCTGTTGAATAACTCAGGGAGAAGCTGATCAGAGTCTGAACCCAGGACAGGGCAGGGGGGTGGGGGGCAGAGAGAAGGGGACCAATTTTTCTGATCGATAGGAAGGACTTGGAAACCAATTGGATATACTTGTGAAGAGTGAGAGAGGGAGGAGTTCTGAGGTTTTTTTTTTTTTTTTTGGTGAGGAAGATCGGCCCTGAGTTAACATCCATTGCCAATGTTCCTCTTTTTGTTGAGGAAGATTAGCCCTGCACTAACATCTGTGCCCATCTTCCTCTATTTTGTATATAAGGTGGCACCACAGCATAGCTTGATGAGCGGTGGTAGGTCCACGCCTGGAATCTGAACCTGAAAACCCCGGGCAGCTGAAGCAGAGCGCGTGAACTTAACCACTATGCCACCTGGCCGGCCCCAGGAGTTCCAAGTTTTAACTAAGACCATAGGGCTGTTCAGCCTGATGAGAAATGCAGGAAGAAGGGTTGCTGTGGGGGTGGGGAGTGTAATTATCCCTTCCCTTGGCTTCTCTAAGTCCTTTGTTTATCCCCATTACGCTACATTTTTAGCACCAATGCTGTGTGTCACACTTACTTGTGGCTGTCTCTGTCTCCCCAGAGGGCCGAGCCCTGACCGATTCACCCTGTCTGGATCCTTAGCAACTAATCCAGAAGAGCAGTCCCTAGATTTGAGCTGGCGGCACTGTCACACCCCTCAGCTCATGTAATAGCAATAACTTGCATTCTGTGTGAGCTCATCTCAAAGGCCAGGCATGGTACTAAGAGCTTTATGTGTATTAGACCATATAATCCTCATCATCACCCTATGAGGTAGAATTATTAATGGTGCCATTTCACAGATAAAGAAACAGATAAAGTCACAGAGAGGTTAAACTAAGATGTTCAGGGTGACACAGCTAGTAAGATCACATAGCTCTTAATCACTATATGTCCCTATAATCATATGAACCTTACACAGCCCCTGTGAGTTCAATGTGGCAGGAGCTTCCAATCCCATTTGATAGATGAGGAAAGTAAAGCCCGGAGATGTGACTTTCCCAAGGTTACATGAAGGGAACGGTATAGAAATGAGGTTGAATTAAGGATAAGATATACACATGGCAACAAGGATGGATCTTAAAAAACAGTGCTGAATGAAAAAGTTAACAGGCAGAAATATGTATTCATACATATATAAAATGATTTGTGTAAACATGTACTGTATACTACATCTTTTAAAAAACTTATACAAACCAAAAAATTACACATTATGCACATTAGAGTGGTTGCATTAGGGTGAGGAGGGAAAGGAGTGAGCGCTGAGGCTCATTAGTCTGCTCAGCCTGCCAGAACAGAATACCACCGAGAAGGAGGCTTAACAGCAGGCACTTATTTTCTCATAGTTCTGGAGACTGAAAGTCCAAGGTTAAGGTGCCAGCAGGGTTGGTTCCCGGTGAGAACTCTCTCCTTGGGTTGCAGACAGCTGCCTTCTCACTGTGTCCTCACATGGCCTTTCCTCCGTGCCCGCGTAGAGAGAGATTGCTGGTGTCTCTTCTCCTTTTGAGGGCACCAGGCCTGTTGGATCAGGGTACCACCCTTATGACTTCATTTAATCTTAATTACCTCCTTCAAGGCCCTGTCTTTTTTTTTTTTTTTTTTTTTTTTTGAGAAAGATTAGCCCTGAGCTAACATCTGTGCCCATCTTCCTCTACTTTATATGGGATGCTGCCACAGCATGGCCTGACAAGCAGTGTTTCTGTCCCTGCCCGGGATCCGAACCTGCGATCCCTGGGCTGCCGCAGTGGAGCGCAAACACTTAACCACTACACCACCGGGCCGGCCCCAGGGCCCTGTCTTCAAATGTAGTCACATTAGGGGTGAGGGCTTCAACACATGAATTTTGGGGGGACATAGTTCAGTCCATAACAGTGGCTAAAAGGGAAATAAGAGATAGAATAAAAAGGAGTGGAGAAAGAAAATGGGGTTAGAGCAGTAGGCAGGATCCAGATCAAGCAGGGCCTTGTAAGTCATAGTAAGGAGGCTAGCTTTAAAGGCTCAGAGAAGTTAATTTACTTGCCCTAGGTCACCTAGCTAATAAATGCTAAAGCCAGGGTTTGTATATTTAACTGATTGAGTCCAAAGCCCATTGTCATCCAGAACCACTCTGAGACCTGATAACAAAGTGGAAATGTATGTGACATGAGGAAACTGCACTTCAGAGAAGTCGAATGACTCGCCCAAGGTCACACAGTAAGTGGTAGAGCTGAGGTTTGGGGAATTCTTTCTGCCACCAAAGCAAGGCTCCTTTTACATGGTCTGTAGCCTCTCAGCCTTTGACCTTGACTAATTTCATTCACTCATTCTTTCAGGCATTTATTCATCTAGCGTATTATTATTGTTATTTATTTATGTTTTTTTGGTGAGGAAGATCAGCCCTGAGCTAACATCCATGCCAATCCTCCTCTTTTTGCTGAGAAAGACTGGCCCTGAGCTAACATCCGTGCCCATCTTCCTCCACTTTACATGGGACGCCGCCACAGCATGGCCTGACAAGCGGTGCATTGGTGCGCACCCGGGATCCGAACCCGGGCCGCCAGCAGTGGAGCACGCGCACTTAACCACTATGCCACGGGGCCGGCCCCAACATCTAGCACATTATTAATTGGCCCCTTCTTTGTGCCAGGCCCTGTGCACTGGGGATATAGACATTAGGAAGACATGGGCCCTGTCCTCAGAGCTCAGCCAGGAATAGAAGAGACAGTCAGGGAAGTACATGTGGGCCTTGGAGGGGCCTGCGAAAGGTGCTGGGGAGTCCAGAGGAGGGACAATGCCTCTGCCTAGGATGGTGGTGGAAGATCATGGTGGAGGAAGATCATAGAGGAGGAAGGAGAGCCCTTTGAATCAACCCTTTGATGGATGAAGAGGACTTCACCTGGTGCAGAAGGAAAAGCTCAGTGTGGGAAGAGCCAAGGATATGGGCATTTGCCAAGGGCAAGTGAGAGACAGGGTGATGAAGTCAGACAGGGCAGGCTTTGGCTGCCAAGCCAGAACTCAGACTTGATTCTGAGGTCACTGGGAAGCCCCTGAAGAGGTTTGTGCAGGCGAGTGCCTTGGCCAGGATCCTGCAGAAAGGTCTCTCTAGCAGGGGTGTCCGAAGACCTGAAGTCCTTTTAAGAATCCACTGCATGAGCTGGCGAGGAAAACAGATGGCTCCTCCCACCCCCAATTCCGTTATGGCTTTTGGTCCACTCAGACCCTGGAAACGTTTTTTTTAACCCTCTCTGTCAAAGCCTTCATCTCACTTGCTAGAGAGACCAGCCTGCTTCCTTCCTCTCTGCCTACACCCCACCTCCCACCAGGGTGATGGGGCTACAGTGGGGCTTGGAATAAAGGTGTGTAGAGAAGAGGGATTGAAGCTTCCTATAGGGGTGATAAGGAAAGGGATCCAGGAGGTGGGGACTCCAGGTATTCTTGGTCTTGGCTTTCCTTACCTCTCTGGGCCAGTTCGAGCATCTCAGCTTCCTGCATTGCCTGCCCCCTTGTTTGCTGCACTCAACTTCCTGCCCCACCAGAGGAAGTGGGGAGCGAAAGCAGGTGCAACGACAGCTAGCAGGGCCATGGTGAGTCCTTATGCCCAGGAATCTGGGTATCTCTGCCCCTAGCCCCCAAACCCCTGGGGTAGCCAGGCCCAGGTCAACCCATAGTAGGCTGACTTCTCCTAGCCACTGAGCTCAGGTTGTACTGGGGGCCCTGCCTGCTGCTTCCAGCAGCCTCATATTGTCTACCCCCCACCAACAGGACAAAGAGTATGTGGGGTTTTCCGCCCTCCCCAACCAGCTGCACCGCAAGTCCGTCAAGAAGGGGTTTGACTTCACACTCATGGTGGCAGGTCTGGGTGTTTTGGAGAGGGGGCGGGGGGCGGGAGGCGGTCCTCAAGAGACCCTGGCTGTCCCCTCACCTGACCAGTTGGGCATGTCCTGTCCACAGGGGAGTCAGGCTTGGGGAAATCCACCCTTATTAACAGCCTGTTTCTCACCAACCTCTATGAGGATCGGCAACTGCCAGAGGCCAGTGGTAAGACCCTCCCCATCCTCTCCAGGCACTCTGTGTTGCCTCCTCCCCCACGTCCCCAGGTTGCACTCTTTTCCTTTCCCTCTGGGTCTCCCATGACTTTCTGGGGATACTCAGGCAGCTCACTGCTTTTCTCTGAGACTCAGTTTCTTCCCCTGAAATATGAGTGGGGACAGTTGATACTGAGAAAGGAAGTTAGTCCTGCCTCAGACCCCTACCCAGCTCCCTGACCTCTCCCTGCCCCATAGCTCGCTTGACACGAACACTGACCATCGAGCGCCGGGGCGTGGAGATCGAGGAGGGGGGCATTAAGGTGAAGCTGACCCTGGTGGACACACCTGGCTTTGGGGACTCAGTGGATTGCTCAGACTGGTGAGGAGTGGGAGAGGGGATGGGGGCTAAGGCTCCCCATATGGCTACTCTGTGGATACTGAGGGGTCAGTTACAGGGCTGGTCTGTCCTGGCCCCCACCCATCCTGACCCAAAAGGTGGGGCCTGTTTCTGGTGGCCATGTGGCCCAAAGTGCCCTGTGCTTCCTGACATCTCACCTACACCCCTGCCAGTTTCTTCTGATGTCTTTGGTTGGAGCCAAAAAATGATTTCTCACCCACCGCCACAGTCCTGGCTAGCCTTGGCCCCTTCCCTGACCTGTGGCCCCTGATCTCTGACCACACGCTCTCTCCCTGTACCCCAGCTGGCTGCCCGTGGTGCGCTTCATTGAGGAGCAATTTGAGCAGTATCTTAGGGATGAGAGTGGCCTGAACCGGAAGAACATCCAGGATTCCCGTGTCCACTGCTGCCTCTACTTCATCTCACCCTTTGGCCGGGGGTCTGGGGGGCACCCTGGGGGTTGGGGCATTTGGGGAGGGCTTAGGGGGGTCTCTGAGCCCTGAAGATGAGCCCTGACCAATCCCTGGGTACAGGCTCCGGCCCCTGGATGTGGCCTTCCTCCGAGCGGTGCACGAGAAGGTCAACATCATCCCAGTCATTGGCAAAGCAGATGCCCTGATGCCTAAGGAAACCCAGGCCCTCAAGCAGAAGGTATGTGTGCTGACCTCTGACCCTTGGCCCCACAAGAAGCCCAAAGACATGATCAAAGGTGAACTCAGCTTTGACTTCTTTGATCTTGCGGTAGCCTCTTTGGAGCGTGATGTGTCAGGCTAGACTGTGGGAGAAAGTTTCTGAAGAAAGTGGGTAGTAAGCTGCCTAAAGGAGCCATGTCTCTGGAGGGTCAGGATAGAATTCCCGGGCTGGATGCTTGGCTAAGGCCTGTCTGAGGGCAGGGGCATAGACACAATGATCCCTGATAGCCCTCTGGCCCCAGGATGCTGATGACCCCCCCTCCAGTGTCCCCAGAGCCCTCTCCCTCTGTTTTTGCTATGTCTCTCTCTCTCGGTCTTTTGGTGTCTGCCTCAACTTAGAATCTCACCAGCCTGTCTTTGCTGTTAGAGTGTCTTTGTCTCAGTTTTTCACCATCCATGTCTCTGTCTCTCACTGTCTCAGATTTTGGTTTTGGTCATTCTGTATGTCCATCTCTCACCATCTCTGTCTTTCATGTCTTCGTCTCTGTCTCTGACCACCCACTATCTGTACCCATACCTCACTGTCTCTGGCCATGGAATGTCTGTTGCTCACAGCAACAGACACTGTTTCTCAGTGTCTTTGCATTTGTCTCTCTGAGATCCGGGACCAGTTAAAGGAGGAGGAGATCAGCATCTACCAGTTCCCCGATTGTGACTCTGATGAGGATGAAGACTTCAAGAGGCAGGATGCGGAGATGAAGGTGCAGAGGCAAAGGAGGAAGGGGCAGAGAAGCAGAGGAGGCGGATGTCGAGGTGGAAGCTAAGAAAGAGGTTTCTGCCCAGGAGGGGCCAATGATGATCCCTGACACCTGCGCTCTAGGAAAGCATCCCTTTCGCAGTCGTCGGTTCATGCGAGGTAGTGAGGGACGGCGGGACCCGACCGGTGAGGGGACGCCGCTACTCCTGGGGTACCGTGGAGGGTGAGTAAGGCGGAGAACGCGTTCTGAGGCCAGCAGGGAGCCCAGGCGCCTCCGAGTCAACTGCACCCAACATGTGAAGTTGGGACGATCTCTGGCCCCGGGGGTCCTAGGAGCCAAAAGAGGGGTCCTTGGGCTGGAGACCGCGGACCCTCCCCTAGAGCGGCGGCAGACTCCGGGCAGACCCGACCCAGGGCTGGACCCTGACGCTCGCCGGTCCGCCCCCCAGTGGAGAACCCACATCACTGCGATTTCCTGAACCTGCGACGGATGCTGGTGCAGACACACCTGCAGGATCTGAAGGAGGTGACGCACGATCTGCTCTACGAGGGCTACCGGGCCCGCTGCCTACAGAGCCTGGCCCGGCCTGGGGCGCGTGATCGAGCCAGCCGTAGGTAAGAGCCGGAGCTGACTCCTAAGTGCTTCTAAGGCCCCGCCCTCACCATCCATGACCCCGCCTTCATCATCCAGATCTCTCTCCCGGAGTCTTTCCCCACCAATTTTGCTTACGTCTCTAACCTCAAAAACATGACCCCGCCTCCTAGACCCCAATCTCGCCCGAGACCTTGCCTCGCGGCCGTGACCCACAGCCACGGGTCCCGCCCTTGACTCCTGTTCCTTTCCCCTATCCCCTAGTAAGCTTTCCCGCCAGAGCGCCACAGAGATCCCGCTGCCCATGCTGCCTCTGGCCGAGACGGAAAAGTTGATCCGCGAGAAAGACGAAGAGGTGAGAAAGCACCTCGCTTCCCCCAGGACCAAGGCCCCAAATCCTCTTCAAAGTCCCTCTCTGGCTTCGCCCGGTTCCACCGCCTGCAATCTTGCCCCACACAGCTGCGCCGCATGCAAGAGATGCTGGAGAAGATGCAGGCCCAGATGCAGCAGAGCCAGGCTCAGGGCGAGCAGTCGGACGCTCTCTGAGGTCCCCGCCGGGGCCCTGCTTTACCTCGGCTCCGCCTTCAGTTCGTCTCTTCTCCAATCCCCGAGCCCCAGGCCGCCCAGCGCCTAACCCCGGCGCTCCAGCCTGTAATGCCCGCCCTTGCGCTGGGTTCTCGGGCTAACAGGTTCTCCCGATCCTGGAGTGTGTAGCCCCGCCTTTGGCTCCGCCCCCACTCTCCCTCCGCCCACTTCAAGATTCCCTGACCCCTGAACTCCCATCCGTCTTCACCCAAGCTGTGACTTCAATAAAAACTGAGTTTCCTTGAGGCCACGCGAGTCTTCTCTTTCTCGGCGGAAATAAGTGGCGGGCGTAGCGGGTGGAACCGCCCCACCCAGGCCTCCGGGCTACTGTGTATTCATTCATTTGTTGGGTACTCGCTTTGTGCCAGGCAGTGTTTCAGCCCAGTCTAAGTCCCTCTCACACAAACCCACTGAAGGCGCCACCGGTAAGAAACGAAGACCAGTTCAATTTTATTAGGAGTTGAGGCGGGTGGTCTGACTGGCAGGAAGGCATTGGCCAGCAGAGGCATGAGTGAGTTCCCTACTCCTGGTCCTTGGCGTCGCCATGCGTGATGACGTAGCAGATATTCTTGTAGTCCACGTTGCCGCCCACGTCAGGAGGGAAGGCCGCCCACATGTTCTTGATCTGGGGAAAGACACCGGGCGTCGCTTACCCGTTCCTTACGCGCCCCACCCCCTCTGCTTCTTCCGGGCCCCTCCCCCACTCACCTCTTCCTGGGAGAAGCGGTCACACTGCGTGGTAAGCAGCTCCTCCAGGCTGGAGAGAGGTGACATACAGGGAGTTGAGATTGGGCTTCGTGATTCTGTTCCACTCCCTCCTACCTCATCCTTGTTTCCATTCGCAGTCTCGCCTTGAAAACCGAGGTCACTCTAGATCCCTCACTGGTCTCCCAAACACTCTGGTCTCCCCTCTTTTGCCCTTGCCCCCATATGTGCTGTGAAAATTTATTCCTATCACCCATTTCCAGTCCTAATTTCTCCCTCATCCCTGGCAATGCCTAACCCTTGGTAGGAATTTAAGAAGGCTTTCTGTGTGAGAGCAGTTGGAGGGGGTCACTTACAACTGCTTCTTGATGGTGCCCTTTCCATCAGGATCCAGGACCTTGAAGGCTCCAGTGATCACGTCCTCGGGGTCAGCACCTGGGAGTCAGAGGGCACATGAAGCTGAAGGGTCCCTGAAGGGTCTCTCCCTGAAAGGTCTGAGGGCTTGGAGCAAGGACACTTCATTCACCTTTGAGCTTCTCCCCAAACATGGTCAGAAAGACAGTGAAGTTGATGGGACCGCTGGCTTCCTTCATCATGGCATCTAGCTCCTCATTCTTCACATTGAGGCGCCCTGGAGCAGGGTGGGGGGAAGCATGGGCTGGAGTGAGGTTCTGGGTCCAGGGGATGATGCTTCTCATAAACTCAGGTCATCCCACTGATTTTTCATCTGGGTAGACTGAGGCCCAGGGTGGAGCTGGCAGGGCTGGAACGCAAGGCTGCTGAATTTCCAAGACTCTGCAGCCTTGAATCTTTACAGGTGGGGTAGGGGGCTCACCCATGGCTGCGAAGGTGTCCCGCAGGTCTTCCTTGTCAATAATGCCATCACGGTTCTGGTCAATTACGGTGAAGGCCTGTGGAGGGCAGGGGCAGGGAGGAGTTAGGTCCCCATGGCCAGGCTTCAGCATCCCTACCCCAGGCAGATCACATTCTGGTCCCCAGCCAGCTGTTCTCTTACACCCCAAGCTGGGAGGGGAGCAAGGAATTCTAAACTCTTCCCCTCCCCCCAAACAGGTGCACATTCCAGGAAAGGGGTGGGGAGAGGGGGCAGCAGGGTATCTTTGGTCAGCCTTCAGTCTCTTCTCTCCCCTCACTCACCTCCTTGAACTCCTGGATCTGAGTCTGGTCAAACATGGAGAAGACACTGGAGCTTCCGCCCTCTGCCGCTGCCCTTCTCCTGGCCTTCTTGGGTGCCTGGGGGGTGAGGGTTGGGCAAAGAGATCCATGGGCCAATCCCTATTCCTCTCTGGAGGCAATGGATTAGATTCGGGGTTCTTTGAGTCCATTCTTCTAAAGCAACTTTTCTGGTTCTAGGCTTCCCCCTCCTATGACCTCTTTGCTGAGGGGACTTGCTTCAGTTGCTTCTCCAAATTCCTATCTGTAGACCTTGAGTCTCTATCCCTCCACGCTATCCAACAAGTGGAAGGTTCCTCCCCTCCACAGTGCCCCGAGCCTGCCTCCTCTGAGTCCCAAACTTGCTGTGTGACCTTGACCCACTCATTCACCCTGTCTGAACCTCTACTTTCTCATTTGTAAAATAGGAGTAGGAATCCTCGCCTGGCTGGTCTCAGAGGTTTTTAGGAAGATGGAGTGCAGGAAGGTATGGAGCATGCTTTGAGAGGGACTGAGCTCCTGTGAGTGGAGTGTCTGAGCAAATTATCCTTGAATGGGTCCTTTAAGCCATCATTCTCCATGCTCCCTATTAGTGGTACTAAGAAAGGGAGGATTCATCTTTTTTCCTCTTGCTAGACTGGGAACCAGCTACTTTCTTTCCAAGGGTGAGGCTGTCTTGAGGTCTAGGGGCTGGGGCAGGGGCTGGGGGTTCTCACTCACCATGTCTTCAGTCTCCTGGGGGCAAGGCAGTGGCTCTGGCTGGAAAGGAGCAGAGTCAGCCTGGGGCAGTCCCTCTGGGGTTATATAGTCCTGCCCCAGGGAGCCCTTAATACCAGGGTAACCTTAGCCCTGCGGGTGCCCACCCCCCAGATACCAAAATAGCAGGCTCAGGGCCTCTCCTTTATTGGAGGGCCAGCAGCAGCTGGAGCCCAGGGAGGGAGGGAGGAGGGAGTGGGTCTTGGGATGCCTGTCTCACTAGGACCTGGGCAGGAAGGGATGTTCTTTCTCCCAAAAGGCAGCTGGAATGTGCCAGAGTTCAGAGAGGGCCCAAGCTGAGGACAGTACTGAGATCAACCAGGCCCCTGCTTCCCCTGGAGTGGGCCCAGATTTAAACCCAGTAAGTTTATTGAGCACCCACAGTATGCCAGGCACTGGGCTGTGCTTTGTGGGTGCACTTTGGCAAACACACCCCTCCTCCCCCTACTGTGGAGTTCACAGTCAAGAGTATGTATGTGTAGGAGTAGTGGCAGAGTTTAAGGGTAGGAGAGAGCTGTCTGGGGAAGCTGAAGGATCAGGAAGTATATCCCCTTCAAGGAGAGGGGGGATTTTGTGAGGAGAGATGCGGAGCATGGAATCCCTAGGTGTGAAGAGAACAGAAAGCCTGGAACAGAGAGCCTGCTCTGTGATCTTGGGCCTTGTGCCTCAACTCCCTGGGCCTTGGTTTCCCCCTGTATAAAATGGGGATGTAATTTCCATCCCACAGAAGTTTTGGATGTGAACACTATTTGGAAACAGTTCAGTGAAGTATAATCATTATAATTAACATTTAGGCCCAGCCTTGGTGGAACTTACAGGGTAGCCATGGAGACAGGATAAATGCAGAAAATGCAAAAAGTACCAGCTGGTTAGGAGTGCAGAAGTAGAGAGCATAGCAGCCCTGGCTAGGAGTATGGGAATAACTTTATAAAGGCCAGTAGAAGTGAGTCAAGTGAGAGGGGAGGAGCAGCAGAGGGCACAGATGGTCAAAGGCCTGGAGAAGTGAAAGATCAGAAGTGTTCAGGTTGCCAGAATTGTGATGGGGCTTGAGCAGAGGATGCAAGGGGCTGGAGACCAGACACTGGAGGGTCTTCAATGCCAGGCTGAAGGCTGAGACCTTGGGAGCCTGGGAAAGGTTTCAAACAGGAGAAGAATATGGTCTAGTGGGAGTCTATAATCACTTCTTTGGATACTGGTATGAAAGTTGGAACTCAGAGGAGGGGAATCAAAGATACCAAGAGGGAAGCTAGTTGGTCACCTCCTGGGTAGCTGGGGTGGCCAGTGGCTTCTCTCTCCATTCTGGGCAAGAACCAGCTTGTCTGACTGTGTGACTTTGAGGTACCCTCTCCCACCCCTCTGGGCCTCTCTACCCCAGTCCTCTCCATACAGTGGAGGTCTGGGGAAATAGTGGCTGAGGAGGCCCCAGGTTGGCAAGGACACCCATCTCCTCCTCCTCCTCCTGCTCCCTCTAGGACCTGATGTCCCGAGGAAGGTGCCTCCTCCCCTCCTCCTCCTCCAGAGTCATGCCAATGTCTCTAAGACATTTTCTTTTCTGGGCACTGGGGCCCAGCCACCTGTTGTCTCTAAGAAGAGAGAAGGAGCCACCCTAAACTTAGCAGCTGCCCTTGGCCTCCTGCACTGGCCCCTCCCTGCCTCAGTTGACAGCTGCCTCACCTTATACGGTTACCATGGGGGTCCAGGCCTAGGGAGGAGCCCACTTATTACTGGGCTCTGGGAGGGAGGAGAACTCCAAAGAGGGGAATGGGGGAAGTGCTCAGGAAGCTTGGGTCAAATGGAAAGTGGGGAAGTTGAGAAGGAGATCAGGAGCGGTGTATCTCAGACACTGAATGGGAGTTCACAGGATCTGAGGCTGAGCTGGGAGTGAGAAGCCTCAGAGAACTCAGAAAACCAAGGAGGAACTGGGAAGTAGGGAGCTGGGCCTGACTGAAATTTCAGGATGGTGGACTCTGGATGGATATTGGGGCCCTCTAACCCTGGGGTTCAGGGGAATGAGGGTCAGAGAGGGGAGAGGCTCGCAAAGTCAGGGCTTTGTGTTTGTGCTTTAGGGTAGCCTAGAGGACTCATGTGATTGGCATCTGGTTTCTTAGCACAAAATGAGAAGCACAGAGAGGTGTGGCAATGAGGAGAAAGGAGTTGATGGGACAGGTCCTGGATCCCCAAAAGAATAAGAATACCGATATGGGAGTTCATGGTATTGGGAATTAATGGTTTGAGGTCTGGGATCCCCACTAGAAGGGGGGGGCACTCAGAGGATGAGGTCTGAGGAATTGAAGCCTGGATTCTGAGTAGCTCAGATAGATGGGGGGCTGTGAAAAGGGTCTTGGGGCCTGGAATTCCCGCAGAAAATGGCAGATCCAGAGAGATGGGTTGCTTAGAGGATTTGGGGGCTCTGGTTATAGTCGCCTGGGCTTGGAGTGTTGGGGTTGGTTGCGGGCCGCGATGAGAATTAGAGTCAGAGCGGAGGTCGAGAGTACTTGAGCAGGGCAGTGGATCTGTAGTGGGGCTCGGAGTCTCACAGACCACCAGAGCGCGGGGGCTCGGGAGCTGGATGGATAATGGCGGCCCAGAAAGGACTCAGGCAGGGCAGCACGGAGCTCTTATTGGCTAAGGGCTGCACTAATGCCCCCGACCCCCGCCCCCTCTCCGCGCTGTCCCCAACTGTCACCGTCCTCCTGCGCTTGCCTCCGGCTGTCACCGATATCCCTGCGCTGGCACCGCCTGCTGGCAGCACCCCTGCCCTTTGGATGCTTCCATTGGCTGGGACTGAGCTGTCTATCTTCCCCCCCGTTGCTAAAGTAAGAGAATGCGCTCATTGGCTGACAAGGCAAATTAATCGCAAATTTGGCCCGCCCCCCCATCTGTCATTCCTTCTTGACCTTCTTGGGAGACCTAAAGAATTCTTCAGCTCTTCCTATTGACTGCGGATGCTGTCTGTCACCGCCCAAATGGACATCACCGTCTGTCGTTTGACCTCCGCCTACTCCTCTTTTCATTGGCTCCCCTTTTACTGTTCCTATTAGCCACGCCCGCCTCTTCTCGCACGGCACCCGCCTCCCTCCGCAGTCATTCACTCTTCAGTCATCTTTATTGGCCAGGCGGGTCAGCTTCCCGCTTTTCTATTAGTTACTTCTTTCGTTCCGCCTCCTCCTGCCTTCACTTGTCCTCTCATTGGTCTTATAACCCTCCGCCTTCTCTATTTCCTCTTTCCAAATTACCCACCTTCTTCCCACCTCCAACCCCACCCACCCTTCCAACGATTGGCAGAAGCCCAGTTCCCTCTGTCCTATTATTCGTCCAAGCCCTCTGACGAGGCGGGAAAAAAAAGGAGCGCGATGGGATGGCCTGCGCGCAGGCGTAAAACGCCGAAACGCTGGCCGCTTAGCCGGCACCGGGGCGTGTGCGCAGGCGCGAAGTCGGCCGCTTGCCCGAAGCTGGAGGGAGGGGGCGGCGGCGAGAGAGCGCAAGGGGTGAGAGGGCGCGAACGAGACCCCGGCGCTTGGCGCTCCGGGACCCGTGCCTCGCCTCCGTGCGCCCGGCAGCCGCCCGCGCG